GCAGCAGTTCAATTAAAATATCTACTGTATAGTGTGCTACGATTATCTGAATAATATGTTMATTATAATTCATTCATATCCGAATAAAATATAATGTATGAAAATAGAATCTCATAAAAATCATATTTCTGCCATTCTGTTGATTGGTAGGATCAAAAAGGCAAAGCATGCCACTATCCCAACCACAACACATGAAACAAACTGCTATAGGCTATATTGGAGATGTCACAATAAAAAAAATTGTTAGCATGGTGCTGTCTTATCCATACCTACTTTACATAAGGCTTGAAACAATTCAGCCATGCAATGCTATCAGAAAGCTTTGAAGCTCCTGTAATCACCACTAAGTGAGACTAGAMCTGTGATGATTTGGAAACCCATTCTACAGTTCCYAGCACCATCTCRGAAGAAAGCTAAGCCTTGCATCAACTACAGCATTGCAGTTAAAGTGGTTGAGCTTGTAATGATAGCTCCTTGTTAGATGATGCTCCAAAACTGTAAACATGAGTATCACATCAAACAATGTGAAAGTTTTAATCATAGCACATCTAGCCATATTGCATTTATTGCTACCACAACCTTCAAGATAGGGACGTCGCCAMTGACCTACTCGAATCGAAACAATCAAAAGGACAAATAACTGTTTTAAGAACATTACAAAGGGTAACTTCCATAGGATTTTCTTCCTAATATGACTAGAGACAGCTGCCAGTCAAACCTCTACAGACACCACAGGGCAACTTCCATGGTTCTTTGGTCCTAGAATCCATTTCAAAGTACACATTGCATATGAGATACCATCTGATGTACAAATAAATCATTCAAACTGCCATCAGATATTAAGGGTGTCCACCAAGTACACAAACTCCAATTCCAGACACTCTACTTTCCAAAAATACCAGATTCCCACTGACAGTTACCCATTCATTTTCCAGAAACTGTTTAGTGAGTATTACTGACATACACAACACCTGGTGTATCAAGACTTGCAATACTCTATACACTCTATGTTACCACATATTTAACTAAATGGTACATATACCAATTAAACTTCTTTTGGAATCACACTTCCCAAGGTCAGAGCACAACAATTGTTCCAAACTTCTAACATAAACTTTGCCATTTAAAGTTAGTGGGAGCTCACTGCTATCAAGTTGACGAAGCGATGCAAGTCCTGTTTTTGTGGAGTTMCTGTCCAGTATAGAGGTCTAACATTCCCAGTTGTCCAGTCGTACTGCAATGGTCACTGGCAAATGGCATATCATAGCCTACCAGCTTCAAGCATTCCATCAGACCCAAGGGTAGCCCAGGACTGTAGTTTCATTCACAAAACTGAGAACTGGCCCATCTTATCACGATGCCAAGGTAGCTTCTAATTGAAGAAAAATTCGAGGTTGGATTGGGTCTAATTAACCCTCCCTCTTGCATAGGCATAATTTGCTATTCCCCTTGTTGACTTCTGTTTGATTAGTCCTAGCAACTTGGAATATTCTTTGCTTTACATGTAAGTGCCGTACAAGACCACACCTTTCATGACAGGTTCACCTACAAAATTTGCACATTATAATATGGAGTCTATTACTACGTCATTACTGCAATTACAGCTTTTTTTTCAAATAATTTACATAGTTAGTTTCCTATATCTGCTATATATTACACAGACATTGGTCTCTTTACTTTATCTACCCGATAGTGCCTTAACTGCAGGCAGTAAACAAAAAAATATCCCAAGTTGAATTGGCATTCAGTAAATTAGCAGAAAAATTATACTTAAACTTTCACAAAAATTATGGAGAAGTTCAAAATAATAAGAAAAAGAAACACTATTGCAACGTTGTAAATAATACACATTGAATGAAATTGACCAGCCCGTTACTGGAAAAACATAAAGCAATAACTTCAAAAGTGCTTTTAAAACTGTCCTTGTTAAACAAAAGAATATTGCTAAAAATACTTCAAAATTAGATTTAGTTCATACTTATTGAATTCCCTTTGTGGCCATATCTTCAAGGCTGGCTTAGGTTAATTTTAAAATGAAATGAGCAAATTTATAACTCGCTTTTTGCAAAAATAAACAAAACAAATCAAGCCAAGTGTGGATACTTGGTAGACAGTAGTGATAGCACTTAAACCATGCAACTGTACAAAATCTAAGTAGTACTAATTTGTACCGGAAGTGGACCTGAAGCAAGACGGTATCGAATGAATGCTTCATTTGTATCAATTCAATTTAATTTGCGTACTGCATGCACGATTTACTAAATAGCACTATTTAGTTTGTACAGTTGCACGGATTAAGTGCGATCACCATTAATTCTTTACTTCACTCTGTGTACTGTCTCAATTTCTTTTTTTGGGTTCTTACAAAGGGAATCCACAAGTTGGATATTGTAGTTCTGATCAAGTGGGCTTGGGAACAAAATCCATGTTTCCTAAAAAATCACCCAAGATAGATACTTTCATTACATTTTRAAGTGGAGATCAAAATATTTGATCTATACATTAGAGGGCCTATTTYATATCTTCATTGTACTTTGCTCCATATTTGTTGGCAAGGGGGTAGCACTTAAAGATCAAGGGGGTATATGTTGAAAGTCAATACACATAGAGCTGGGCCAGTCTTAAAAGTTTCAATTGATAAATGTCTCATAGACAGAATTTGAAGATGACCAAATAAAAGAACATGAAGAAAGTTCTGGCTGMTACAATCCCTGCACCATTCATCTGTGRGTGTTATTGGAAGCKGCTGCTATCAGATCCACTTTCTACATAACATGGCACATGAATTTAAGGTTTGAAATGCTGCTTGCTTGTGATGGTCGCATCTTTGAATCTAATGCCAGATAGTTCCCACGTTCAAGAAGACTTAAGATCAGTGTACAATATGATGACAAACCTTGAATCAAATTGTCTATAGCCAGTTATATCACTTGAATTTTATCTACCACGAATAAGCTCCACAATGAAAAGATTTCCAAAGAACTGATGATGATATTGATGGCTCATTAAAAATACACCAGAAAAGTTAAATGCTGCTTTCTTTCAGATCTTTGCATGGTTAATAAAAGACATTCTTCACGGTAGGTCATGTTGGATGATGAAGTTTATAAAGGACTAACGCAAATTAATTCCACAAAAATTTTCTGCCTTTAAAATCAAGGGATAAATCCTGTTTATCAGTGTGAACGGTCAAGCAGTTCAGATCTGGTGTTGGGTTTTCTTTTTCTGGAAAATGGTGAATGGAACAAAACACCACTTTTGGAAAAGAAATAAAAACAAGTGACTGGAACGCAATTGGGAATATTCCCATTCTCTCTCTTCACTGCATTTTCACACTTCACAATTGAAATCAGGAAAGGACTGCTGAGAGGGAAATTGTGTGATGAATTAGTTATGAAAAAGAATTGGGTATCCTGCGTACTACTCAATCGGGAAGGGCCAGGGTAATCAATAATCAATCAACACACAGCTCTGTGGCACTGAAATATTTATTTTTGTGCCACATTGCTTAACATTACATACTGTAATGGAATCTCCTATGTTTTACCTTTGAAAACTAGATCCATTTCTTTGTCATCTGAAATAAATGCCTTYGTATTTTAAAAATATGTATAATTCTAAATCAAATTTTTGATTGAGATTCCTGCTTGGATGATGCCCGTCTTGTGTTCTTTGACTTCCTACAACAGGCCCTGCCTATAGAATTCTATTGGGAAACAATGCCTGATATACATGAAAATCTGAATAAATAGTTTTATTACCATATACCCAACCCCAAATCCTGAACCCGGGGGATAAAAATAAGGGTATATACCACCTTTCTTAGTATCACGGCCTAAACTGGCAATGACACAGCAGGCCTGCATTTCCGGCCACAAGGCTTTGCTTTCTACGAGGAAACAAATCGAAATATTCTGGATACAGAGCATAGTCTTTTTTCAGCAATTCATCGTACATTTGCTGATATGGTGTATCAAATGTGTAAATGTTGGGTTTATCAGCCGCTGATCCTGGTAATTTTACGTGAGTTCCAGATCCATACGACTTCACGTTGAACCCTCGCTTGCTGAAAGAGAAACGGTTGAAAGCAAATCTTACATCATCGTTGAAAAAATCGTCGAAAAACAACCTTTTCGATTCTCAAACAAATCGAAATGAGACCCTTATGGGTTTTAATTCAAAAGGAATTCCATTTTAGCGTTCTTCAAGGAATTCACCTAGTGTTACCTTAGAAAATTATGAGCTTCCATACTTCGGTTCTGGTTGCTTGAACAAACAACGGCAATTCGTAACTTGTGAACCATATTTTGACTAAATAAGTTATATATTTTCATAAAAACTCGAAGAAAAACGTTCAAAAATGTTTTGTAATTGTATTGAAGTTATTTTAGTCCTAGAAAATGTAGATTTTTAACCCGATGGAAACAGATTTCTTTSTCTCACAAACCAAACGCCAAACCCAAACAAAGATGGTCGTCCAAATACAAAGTGCGTCACAAACGATGACGTAATTCATCCGGGAGCTTTGTTTAGAATTGTGCGGRATACTGGGTACGACAACAAATTCAAAATGGCGGACGGCATGGAGTTGGTGAGATTTTATTTTACGTTTTTCAATTTTTTTTGTCGTTTGTATGATTTTGGATTGCAATGCAGTTGTTTGACTGGTTAACGTCCATCAGTGTTGATTTTCCCGTGGCGGCTCTTTGCTCATATTTGGAATCTTTGAGATTTCAACACAAAAAGGAAAGCAAAGGGRAAAAAAAGTTTACCACTCTCACGATCATCAAATAAATAGCTAATACTAAATAGGCTAGAACATTGTCTGATTTAAGAGATATTTATGAATCATCTAAGCTTAATTAATTGGTTTTGATACTTATGATAATAATCTACATGCATAAATTCTCTCAGGAGCAAGATGCCATGGAGGAAAAGACAGAAAAAAGGAAACAACTTGAAAGCTGGTTAAATAAATTGATGAGGATAAAAATATCTGATGGCAGGACACTGATTGGCTCATTTCTATGTACTGATAAAGATATGAACATTATACTGGGTTCTTGTCAAGAGTTTGTTGGTCAGCCAGGTCAGTCATTACTGTGTCAGTAATTCARTACCAATTGAAACCTGCTTTTTGATTGCTCCTTAAGTACAGCACCACTATTGTTAGGTTAGGTTTTGTTATATTGTTGGAAGACTTATCTATTGTTTGTCCATTGTTTTCTCAACCTATCATGAGACCCGTTCCGAGCGGTGCTACCTGGCACTGTGTTGTTGAATGACAGAATTGGTCATATGTTATTAGTCAAATCTGATAAAGAATAAAATTTTATACAGTTGACCTTTTTGCAATTACAAATCATATTTAAAAATGAATTTATAGTTACAAGTGAGTTAAAAGCATAAAAATGAATTTGTAGGGAGAGATTCTTGTGGTGTGGTTGATTTTTATTGTCGCTATAGATTAAAGGGCTACTTGGACGAAAATTGCAAAACATTAGAAAAGACTAGGAAATCAAATAGACCTATTCATATCAGTCTTATAATCATGAAGCAACAGATTTCAACAAGATATTGATACAAATCCTTAATATTTTGGGCAAAAATGTTGGAGTAGATGACGCCATCTACTCCATCCTTTTGTTCTTCCATCTTTTGAATCAAAATTTCTCTGATGTGGGATAATTCCAAAACAAATATTTTCCCGCAATTGTTTTTAATTAGATAAAAATGAGTCATATATTTGTATTGCTTGAAGTTTTGAAATAAGACCACTTTCATGCAAGTAGCACTTTAATTTAACTGACTTGTCTCCAGTTCTCTGCTTGTTTCTGAAAATATCAAAAACACAAAGGAATCAAGACTTTCACTATTGTAGAAGGTTGGCACATGCAGKGCGCCTTGTCTTGATTCTTTTCTTTGTAACAAGGTGAATTTTGAAAGTCAGGTATTGCTTGCATCACTATGCAACTATCATGGCATGCTATTTGCAATTATGGCTGTCAATCAATTGCTCGACATGGAAATCATCAGGCAATAAGAGAAAACAACTTAATATGACTTTCGATAACTAATGAATGTGTACCTTTTATTGGTAATAATTGTTTTTAGCCAGTGCAAAACAACGAATTGATGTGTATACTTGCTCAAGTAATTGTAAACAAGAACTTGGGCATTCTAAAGTGCACTCTAACCCCTGATAAATGAGACTTTTTTTCTAAAATTATGGAAGTTGCTGAAAGCTTTGGCAAAAAAATGACTCAATTTCATTCAATTCCTGATTTTGGTAAATGTTTTAAGTTGGATTTTGGATAGACAGTCTCGAAAGAAGTATTGAAACCGAGTGAGTGTGACGTCAACCCAGACAATAAGACAATACCTTCTCTGTTACAACGGTAAACAACACACCGATTCAGCATTTTTAACGGCAAAAATCTAGATGAACTCTAATACCGACAGTTACATGAGCGTTTCACAGTATGAGATAATGGGTTGACGACTCACAAGTGATGTAATACTGTAGAATTCATTGTCCACCACAGGGAGCTCAAAGTACGTTTTCTTGTATGTTTAAAAATTTGTAAAAAAAATGGAATTTCAATAAAATTGTGTCATTTTTTGCCAAAGTTCTAAGAAACCTCCCTAATTTTAGAAAAAAAAATGTCATTTTTTAGGGTTTAGGTGCACTTTAATCATTTTCTAAGCTAGAATGCTCTTAACGGTTTGTTTTTCTATGTCCAGGTGTTGATAAAGAAGATCCTCGYATTCTAGGGCTTGCAATGGTACCTGGGAGACAYATMAAATCAATAGAAATTGACTTGGATAGAAAATACAATAAGTTTGGAGAATTTGTTTAACAAAATGGTGCATTATCATTGGCAGATAATGCTGGATGTGGCTTTGTTTTGGCAGCTTCAAAATAGATTGCTGTTTGTGGATTTAACATTCAACACTTCTTACTTGTTTAAAAACTACAAATGCAAAGTGCATGTTGATTACTATCTATTGAACAACAGTTTTTTTATTTTCCTTATTGTACTCTACTGGCTTGGAGTAAATTAAGACAAAGATATTTAGAAGATGTTGGATACCCTAAATAAGGTTATTGGTGTCTGATTGTTTGAAGTTAAAGAGAAACAGATAGTTGCCAAGGGGTTAAACTATAAAGTACACTATAATCAARTGACTGTATCATAAAAAAAGACAACAACATCTAAGCAATGGAGTCAAGTTTATAAAAGCATTTGTTTCACTGATTAAAAATATTATTTCACATTGGAATAATTGATAATTATGATTTTCAATTGCAATAGTTTAAAAATATTGTATAATAATTGCAAAATTTTTGTTATAAAACATTTATGAAAGCAAATACATAGTACATGTACTAGGATACCTCTCCTTTGGGGTTCCTGTGTTTGGGTTCTACATAGCATGCATCAACAATAAACTGTCATTCATTCATCCATTATTGTTGGTTGTTGAATTCATTACTAAGGTGCAGTATTGCAGAAAAAAAATGCACAAACTATAGAAATTGTTACCCATTAAATTGATTGGTTCATATTTTTCCTTATTTGCACCTCAATTTTATGACTGTCTGTTGCACTTGAAGTACAAGTTTTGATATTTTTAGCKGCAAATCAGAGCACATGATGCATTTTGTGATAAGTAAAGACACTAGTGCCCTAATGATAGACTCGTGACCACCAATCAAATTACTCAATCACACAACAAGTTTGAAAGTAACAACAGTTTTCATTATTACCACGAGTCCATTGAAGCATTTGGCATTTTAGTCCTGAGCAGTCTCAGTTTGCAATTTAACCAACAAATGATTTCCCACAACTGAGTAGTACAGTGAAGTGTTGCACTAGAGCTCAGTAGTAAGAGGTCTTTGGGGTTTATCAAGGTCTGCTGTCAACTGTTGTATGTGTTTGGCATTRCACTCTTGACAGTACAAATGATCATCCAGTGGATAACAACCACTGCCTCCTTTTTCAGATGATAGCTGACATCTACAGTCCTGCAATATAATTGATAAAAATCCCTTTCAAACTGTTGACTTGATAAACTGTAATTAACTAGTTGTAATCAGTATTCATCCACATCATGTTTGATACAATGCACACACCTCACACTTGAAACACTTCACATGAAAATCTTTGTTCATTGAAACAATTCGCACAGTCTCGTCTTGGCCCTGGTGGGAAAAATTAGCAGCATGGTATTGGTTAATTATCTCTCGATACTTGGCTCCCTGGGTGCAACTATTACCAGCAGGTGTGATAAACAATTTAAAACTAAGTGAACAAAATTATAATTATAATATACATGTAACTGGCATGGGACAGTGTCAAAGAGTTGTCATCATTAACTTATAAATTTATCCCTTTGGCACCAGTATTTGGGATTATGGTTTGAATACAAATATGGCTTTGAAAAATTCCAAATTGTAATACATGAATTTGAACACTGCTCAAAACAGGAATTCAAAATGAATAGCATAAAATAGGAAATGTTGGTCACCAAAAATCAAAAAAGACATCTCTGCCTTTTATAAAGTTTTTAGAATGTTTTGCTAATCTCAGATTTAAAAACAGCCCTAAATCGAAAAACATCTGTGTTGCCATCAGTGGGGTTAAATGGCCAGAGAATGCAGGCTTAAAGACCAAACTGGTAAAAACTAGCAGTAAACTAGTGTGAGCT